GCCACCCACAGGTGCGCGCTGGTCCCCTGCTGCTCCGCGGCCACTCCCCCGCCGCCAGCGAGCCTCCTCCGGCCGACACCGGAGATCCTCCTCCGCCTCCTCTGTTTTGATCCGGTGAGGGACCTCGCGCAACAATTGAAGAAAAGACAGGGGGTGAAATAAACATCTATGACTCAGGGGAATAGTACAGAGAAGGACTTATTCATTGGAATTTATTTTCATGGAAGTTCAGGGGCCTAGAGGCAATTGTGTTTTCCTTTATTGCATTTATTTAGCTAAAACTTTGGAAAATCATAATAAATTGTAGAAAAATTATAAAATAGCAAATGAGGACTTTTTTGGAATCCTTTTAAGTTGTCGGATGCATATCTTGAGTTATAGAAGTCCAAAAATGGTAATTCCAGTTGTGTTAATCTTGTGCTGACATGCTCTAGCTAATAAAAATATTAAACATGCTAGTTATGTACTTTTTATAATGTTTTGATTTAATCTTGTTAAATAGGCAATTTTAGTTTGATTTGCTTGTTATTCTCGTATCTAAAGTTATGGTGCTCCAATTGCTGTGAAATTTTATGGTAGACTTCTGATGCTATGTGTGCTGTGGTAAAAATTTCATGGTCATTGGATGTAGTCTGATTGATTTATTGATTTAACTCGTTTATTTCTTGATAAATGGTTTTAAATAAGTTATAATTTTTATGTAGGTGTAAAAATGGAAAAATGTGATTCCACTACCTTTGTATGATGTTGTGCTACCATAATAACATATAATATGGCTATGTGTTTCTAGAAAATAATGATCTTTAGATTTATCTTGCTTTTACATGTTTTCTTGTAATAGCAATTTGTCTTTTTCATAGTAATTAAATTATAAAACCTAAGCATGTGAAATTTGTGCAGTAGCCATATTTTGATAACATCTACGACTCATAAAAGTCTCATACATCACTAAAATTTATATATATGTTTATTAGAAGAAAGGATTAAGAAAAGCATAATTGTAGATAAAGCTTGTAATTGTATTTGGTGATGCTTTGAGTGATCGATGTTCAATAAAGTGTTGCTAAGTAAGTTAGTGGTGATTGAAGTTCTTGAATTTTTCATGTGTGTATGCTCTTTGTTAGCAAACAAGTGAAACATCAAATTGTTATATTCTGAAATGGCTGCATGTGCATTTTCTGTTGTGATGATAACTTCATGATGCAAATGATATTTTCTGTAGATATGTTGAATACAAAAGTTGTAGATAATTTCCTTATATTTCTTGTCCTAAAATTTCATGATTTTAGGTATGATGGTTTAGGAGTTATAGATTTTAGACATTTGCTGTCAGGTTTTTGCATGTCCTCTGGACAGATCGGAATGATTGTATTATTTGGCTTATTTAACATGGAATCATGTATTGGTGATAATAGGAGAGTTATAGTGATTTTCCTAATCTTTCTAAAATATCTGAGATCACTACTTTTGGTGGTCTAGAACTCCAGTTATAGCTGTTTAAAGTGGAATGGCAGATTTCTATCCAAATCTAGACAAAGATGCCTTCTTGGTGTTGTTTAACCTTATTATCTGTAGAATCATATTAAGATTATAATAAGAAAGTTATAGATAATTTAATAAGCTTTCTATAAAGTTAAGGATCATGCTTGTTGGATGCATATAACTTGAGATATGCATTTCTGAAGATACTATCGGTTTTCTGTCCTTAGTTATATAAGCTCTGCTTCATGAGGTATTTTGGCCTTGTTATTTGTTGAATCAGCTTTTGGTGTTAATAATAAAGTTTTAGATAATTTCATTAGCTTTCCATAAAGTCCTGAATCACACTTTTTACATGCCTAGAACTCTAGGTATGATTAAAACAAGTGACTGTAGTGCTGCTGTTCAGAATCTGTGTTTGTACCTAAAATTGTTTGCTTCACCTTACTTTACTTTGTGTGTTGCTAAGTACGGCTCATGTCTTTGATGGTGTTAAGTTAATATACCTAAAACCTTGTGAAACTTGTGTCATGCTTGGTGCTACCTTCCTTGCTATCCTAGCATGATAGGTTGTGGGATGTTTAATTAAGTAACGTGAAGTGCTTATACATGTTCAATGTAACCTTGTGCTCATCTTGAATATTTTTATGTGAGGCATCTCATATTGCCATTCTTCGCATTCATGCACTTGCATTGTTGCATCTCATCTAGGTACACTAGATACACCACGTGAAGGACGTGATGTTGGAGCCAAACCCAAAGATGAAGTTTGGTGAATCCATCCAGAAGACGGAAGGACTAAGCAAGTGCTGAGATAGGAGATGCTCGTCAAGCGAGTATCATCTAACAAACACTGACCTAGTGTTGGATTCTAGGAAAGCCCCGAAGCATTCTAAGCCTCCTATGTTTTTACAAATATTACTTGCGTCCTTTTATGTTTGATGCATTAGGTTATAAGAGTTGGTTGGAAACACTGGATGCATAGAACTACCTTATCCAGATATATATACCTTTAACCCTATGTAGGTCTAGGATCGAATATATGCTTAGCCATACTTAGACCGGTAGAACTCGGGTGATTTCTTGTCACCTGCGAGATATAGGTGGATACCGAAGCACGGTTGGCTATATTTGCTATCATAGAAAAGAACCATGGGGTAATGTAAATGGAGGTCGGACGAAGTCTATGTGTAGGTTGACTCATGTGATTCCGTCTATGCCGATTAAGGACCGTACCGTTGTTGGCACTTCTGACAAGATTGAATGCATGCCTCTCAGTTAGCTGGCCGGATAACTCGTTCCGACCGCGAAGCCGAGTAGCTCAACTCAGGCCAGGCCCCGTTCTGCTAGAGTGTGCACTTTGGATGGTAGTAAGGATGTGCGGGGAGCTAGACGTGAGCCCAAGGGTAGGCCGGGCTAGAACGTCCTAGCAGCTTGTTGTCCCTGATTATGCAGCGCTGGACGAACCCGCGAAATGTGGACCTGAGTTGTACCAAATATGACCTAAGGCTACCGTGGCTGGTAGACCTAGGTTTGCTTTAGGAATAAATTCACAGCTGGTTGAAATCGATTTGAATTGTCGTCTCTCTCGAACAATGAGAAACTTGGCTAGCTCCAGCATCGTAGTAATTAGATTATGAAATATGATGGTTCTGATGAATATGAAAATCTTACACCGGCTATAGTTACTATTGTTATGCTACTAAATGCTATACCAAATGTTTGGCACATGTTAGTTGCTAATCTAGAGATGAATAGTTATAATTAACTTGATGACCGAATTATAAATGTATAGCTGAATTAGTGGCTTTTTATGCAAAATGTTGTCAAGCTAGCTCCACTTATAAAGCCTTGCATAATCCTTGGTGTCACTTTATTTCTGGTTTATGACGGGTAAGTCTAGCTGGGTACATTCGAGTACTCAGGGTTTATCCCATCATGTTGCAGGTGAAATTCTCGCCCTAAGAAAGATGATGGCTAACCACCAGTGGGCTTGATGACTCTATATTTATTTCTCATATATATGCTTTTATCGGAGGATGTCACTTATGCTAGCAATGTATTTGAAACTTATACTAATATAATCATTTGAAAGCTATGTTGTTTTTCTTTAACCGATTTTGAAACACAAACTTGTACTATTATTTGTGAACCCATTTGTAATATTATTTCTGCTGCAACTCTGTATATGTGATGTGTATTTGCTTAATCATGCGATCTTGGTTGTAATGTTGATTTACCGAGGTCCTTCGTGATACTCGGCGGACTACCGGGTTTATAAAAGTGAAAGTATGCGCGTGTCAACGTGTTTAACGAGGACAGCCGTATTTGATCTTTTATAAATTGGGCAGTTCTGTCACACCCATTGTAGGTAATGATAACATTGGATTATACAATGAACTATAACGATGATCACTTTAATTATGTTACTCATTACCACTTGTCTTGAACTTATAATTGCTAGTTAATGTATTTATGAATCATGGGCATGTCATTCTTGAAGAAACCTCATGCTTTTTCTACAAACGTACACATGCTCGATAACTCCCTTTGCATCCACCAAATACCTATATATTGGAATTAAGTCCTGCGAGTACGCAATGTACTCATGGTGCTGCTGATAAGTTGTTTTGCATGAATCTTCAATTCAATCTGCCATCGACTAGTAGACTTTGGATTGGGCGATTCCAAGATGAGCTACATGTTAACTCTGTTAGGTGTTCGAGTGAGAATAAACGGAGAATAACCATAGTGGGTTGATTATGAAATATTGTATAATGCCACTTCGCTGTTAATTGTTAGCATGTAACGTGTTTAATTAAATTGAAATCTTCAAGTGTGTTGGCATGACATTCATGTTATATGTTGGTTTGTCATTAGGAGTGTTCCATGCCACTGGACTGTTAAAAAATCCTGAAGAGGAGATGCGGATGGCATTCTCCTGGGGGCCTCGTGTCGATCGGAGTTAGCACAGGTTGGTCAAGAGGATGACAGCGGCGCTAGTCTGACAAGTGTGGGAACATTCCCTCACACTCTCTCTTGCCTCTACACGACGGGCAGTGATCGAGAATTTACCGCCCGAACTGAATCCGCAATTGGACGGACCATATCGTTTTTCCGTCGAATCGGACAGCCAACGGGATAATGGGCGACGTGGCCCTATCCGTTAGTCCGCTTTTGGTTCATGAATTGTACTCCCTCCGTCCTAAAATAAGTATCGCTACGAGATGCATGCTGGTCAAATTTTTTCAGTTTTGACTAGGTTTATAAAAAATATTAGCAACATTTATATTTAAATAAGTTTATTTCAAAAATATATTTAATGATTCATTTGTCGATACTAATTATGCATCATAAATATTAATATTTTTTAATATATATTTGGTCAAAATTATAAATATTTTGCTTATTGGAAAGGCAGTATATAGCGATTTGGGATTCTCTGAACCACCCACGCCTCATCCAGAGCTAACACGCGCCATGTATTGGACGATTTGCCGTTGGACGACGCACACTCGGCCATGGCGCTCGCTCTCCTCTCCCCCTCCACACCATCCCATCGCCTAGTGCTTCGTCCCCTTTCATCTCTGCCGGTCGCGCGCGCCACCAATGCCGCTAGCTTCGGGCTCGCGTTCTTCTGCCCCCTCTCCCGCGGTTCCTCCTCCATGCAGAGGACCGGCGCCGCAGGCGGCGTCATTGATAGTACCGGAGATGGCTCATCGGAAGAGCCGGTGGCTGGATGGCTCAGCGCAGACCTGCTCAGGCGGATATCAGGCGCGGCGGACGCGGACCGGGTCCTGGACATTTTTGCGGAGTCCGTTGAAGGCGCTGGTGCTGCTCTGGACGCGCCCGAGTGCAACGCGATCGTCGCCGCCGCTTTTGACTGTGGCAACATCGAGCTCGCGCTCTCGGTGTTTGAGGCCATGCGGTCCGGTTTCGCGGGAGGTAGGGGCCCGTTACTTTCTTGTCTAATGTTTCAGACTCTTTTATGGTCCTGAAATTTGAAATACGACGTCTTCAGCCTGGATTGCTGAATCCTTTTTTGCCGAACAATGTCCAGTTGGGGGCTGGAGGTGGGCAAGGCCTGATGTGCGGACTTATGCGTTGCTTGTACAGCGGTTGGCGGCCGCCCCGCGTGTTGCTGATGCAATCATGATAATTGATTATGTGTCTCGCGCAGGTGTTTCTTCTATGGATGAGGTGATTTTTCGTTCAGACGCACTCAGAAATATTATCGCACCTGTGTTTATCTTTTAGGACGCTTCATTGCAGACTGCAGTATCAGCCATCTTGACAGTGGATGTTGTAGCTTCAACCATTCTGTACAGTAGCTTTAAGGAATGGGTCATTGGGTAACTCGGGATATATAGATTGGCAGCTATCAATCTGCATACTTTGCTGTTGATGTATGCATTTTATGTTTATTTACCAAGAAGTAATTTTGTAGTGAAAAAATACTAGACATATTAGATCATATTTTAGGTTCTTTTGAGAGCTTAAATCCTAGTCCTAGATCCAAAAAATAGTGAAAAGTACTCCCATAAATGTCTTGCTATACCAATGTCAGAAAAGCACTTTCTCCTGACTTTATACTTGATTTATCATAGAATAACTTTATTTTAGCCTCCTCATCTCTTTCATTTGTCTAATTTTGACCCCCCGACTCCAATACTGCTAAAACCAGTCACCCCAGCTTTCAATTCTGTTTGATTTTGACCCCCAAGGCCATTTTCACATGGCATATTCTGATGTGCACCACATACTAAGCACCAGAGTTTTTGGTGGTTCATAGAGGCTAAGCACCACCTAACCACCTGCCTTCAACCTATCATCTTTTAGAACACTGCTTCAACCTTCAGGGACATGGTGAGAAGGTTAGGTATATAAGTGGCATCAGAATGTGATAACAGGTTTACATATTGCAGGTTTCTTTCGGAATCATTGTTCGCTGTCCAACTTGCATGATAGCAGTTGCCGTTGTGCAGCCTCATGATGGAACTCAGGTTTGATGCTGCAGAAGTATCTTGTAATACCCCTCAATTTTTTTAATACTGGTCATTTGGTCAAGTAGTCATTAGCTTACAATATGTGAGATACTGAGACAAGTGCCCACAGTTGGGACTCACGAGATGGAAGAGGGAGGGAGGGTAAGTTGTATTAAATTGGTAGAAGACACACACTGGAAAAATATGGTACTGTAAATCTCTAGAAGCTCACATCCAGATCGCAATATTTTAGGGCATGTGTTGTTGGTCTCTAGCTAACTTAGTTTTTTCTAAGGATATATACCATTTTGTGGGAGTTTTACTCTTCAGGCTCCTTTTTTTTATGTTCAGTTTGTATGTCCTAGGCCATGGGCGGGCCCAGCTATATGCAAGGGTATTCAGTTGAATACCCAAATTTTCTAGCAAAAAATTTTATACATATTGTGTATATATATGTATATGTACTGAAAAAAGAAAGAAAGAAGAGTATAAATGAATAATCTGTGAAGAATTCAGCCCAAAACGTTGCTACTCCCTCCCTCAGTCCCCACCAGATGGCCCCACAACCCAATACAGCTTGCGTATCTCTCTTTCTCTATCTGCGTTCGACTCCCTTCTCCTGATTCAACGAATTGGCTTCCCATTTTCCCGACCGCGAGCACAAGCACTAGAGGTTCATCCCTAGCATCCACCATCCAGGGCGACCGGCGGCAGGCGGCGAGCCGGACCTGGGCAGCCAGCGACCAAGACCAAGGTGGGGGCGCGCGTACGCATACGCATGCTGCCAATACCTAAATTGACTCGTGGCCATCAACTAGGAAACCAACCCTGGCCCATTGAGGTTAGCTGCATTAGCATCTTCTATCATCCTCCTGTGTGGAAGGAACGCCAATTAATTAGGCTCTGGATCAAAAGCTGAGCCAAAGGTCAGTGTCATGCATGTTTAGGCTCCATATGTTGCCACTTTTCTATGAACTATTGGTATCTTTTATGTTAGACAATTTCAAATTATGCTCATGCTCAATTATGCACTATATATTTGCTATATACTCCCTCGGTTCCGGTTTACCCGGCATACACCTGTTTTCAGAATCAGTCACAATAGGGGGCGGGCAGCAGTACCAATGACATACAATCATTACTCCGGACCCGACTCAAGCAATGCATGCTGCATGCATGCAGCTGAACCGTCGCTGCACTAGCTAATCCGTCCCATGCATGCAGCCGAAAGGAATAAAAAATGATTTCCTGGCCGGCGGTGTGATACTAATCCGGCGCAGCGAATGGCACAGTTAATACGCGCACGTACCTCCATAAGCGCTTCTTGGTATCTGGTATTTGGCTTTGTACGCCTGGTAAATAGGAATAGAGTATTATGCAATTATATCTATGCAGTGTTGTACATGCAAAATATTAGGCTTTGTAAAAAAAATAAACCCTTTTACATTTCGAATACCCATCCTTAAAATCCTAGGCCCGCCATTGTCCTAGGCTCCCAGCACCTAGGCTTGAGTCCTCTTTGGCTTTGGTGTCTATTTTCTTCATGATGTAAAAATCAAAATAATCAAGTTCCTGTGCTGTCTGTTATGAACTAATACCATAGATTACTTATAGTTGCTTGATTTGAAATTCAATTTCCAATATGTTGTTTTATCTTTTCAGGTTGTTTCCTGTTCAAAGTGTCGATATCAATATGAATTATTTTCTGGAGACATTACGAGCATTGAATCTGAAGAAGTTAGGTTAGTGAGTTGTGTTCTGTCTTTGAGCGGTTCCCTTAATTTCACACCAATACGAATCCATGATCTTGTTTCTTTATATGCATAGTATTGGCTGTAACGGTCTGTGGATAACAAACACAACTGTTAGTTGTAGGTTAGGGGTCATTGTAAACTGTTCTCCATGCGATTAGTTTTCTCGTATAGTCCAAGGCGTGAGTGTGTGGTGTTGTATGGGGTTTCTTTCTCCCGTTTTATTCTTCTTAATATAATGATACACAGTTCTCCTGCATGTTCGAGAATTTTTTTTGTCAGCAGCAGCATTCTTGCAAGACGGATGTCCTTATCATTCATTATGGGGAAAGACTAGGTTAAGAAAGCACACACCATATCTCATTATCTAGGCTTCACTTGATTCTGTTGTTGCAAATAGTTTATAATAATTCCAGTGATTGTGCAGCCTTTATCGATCTTGCTACTCTATTTATCTCAGATAATAGCTTGTTTGAATGTTGCCCACTTTCTCAATGCTACTGTATATGACTTTACTTCTAATATTACTTCTCTAAGGATCTCCTCCTGCCGAACGCAGCATGGATATTTCAGCCCTGGAGAAGGCCTTGAGATTTATTAATATGTGGAAAGATGATCTTCCAGCTGCTGTCCACTCTATTGTGGTAGATTTTCTTTCAAAATGTACATTGATCTCAATTTGTCTATATTTTGAAGATCTTTACTTTGATGAAATTGCACTTTTATGTCAATTGTTGGCTTTGTTTGGATGCCCATGTATCCACCTCAATCCCCACCCCAACACACATGGATTGAGGTGGATACATGGCCATCCAAACAAGCCCATAATTGGACTTAATGTTCTGTTGAAAACTAATGGAATCATGGAGGAATAATCTACATTTTATACAATAGAAATTTGAAAAATATAATTTGATATTATTGTGTTAGAAACAGTATGGGAAATTATGGTGCTGCCATTTTTCTCGAATACGCAGGAGATCTACGTATCAATATATTAAGAAGAAAAGGGTATAGAACCCAAACAACAACACACAACGACACCAAACAACTAGGTCATGCACACAAAAAGAAAGGAAAAAGAAGAAAAATAAACTCGCCAAAGATTGCAAGCAGTCAAGCACCAAACAGCCTCGACCAACAAACTAACTAATGCTGGACCCAAGGGCGAGGAGATGTGAAACCCCTGGAGCCCCAGCTAAACACCAGAAATGTAACTCCTCCCTGATGAACTCTAAAACTCCAAACTAGGCGAGATTCCATCAAACACACATCGATTGCAGAGATTCCAGATTACCCATGCTCCAAGGATGATAATGGAGTTGAGACCTTTCTGGACTTGACCATCCACTCTTTCATTAGATTTGGCCCACCAATCATCGAAGGACAAATCATCTAGTTGAGGGGTTAAATCTTGCAAGCATATTATGGTGCTGCCATAAGTGACCAATTAGCAGCCTGTTCGCTTGGTCGTATTTGGCTTATAAGCCATGGCTTATCAGCCAACGAACAATATTTTTCTCTCACACCAAACCAGCCAGCAGTACTTTTAGTCATGGCTTATAAGCCAAACCAGCCCAAACAAACAAGGCATAGTATCAGAGTATATGTGTTTGAAACACTGGCCAAGTCCAAAAGTATCCTACCAAAACAAACTGTGAAAACACTTGCGTGTTCGAGAAAAGAAAACCAAACTGTGAAAGCATGGGTTCGACTCCCCGTCGGAGCGAATTTAAACAGGCCTGAGTTAAAAAAACACCCAATGACAGGCTATGTTGCTGAGTTATACGTGTAACCACCTGAGTTGCTTTCTACGAGATGCACATGGCCGCAGGCATGTGTCCTAGGCACTCGTTGGGGTGTTCCTTGGCCCACGTGTGAGAAGTTTCTTCTTAATGCAATGTTGCGGGGGCGGTCTTTCCCCTGCAGTTTGAGTTTTTGAGGTTAAAATTTTGTTTGCTTCACCTCATCAATCATTCGACGTCTGTTAGAGACCAAAACAGTACCTTTAACATGCCATACACATGGTTGACAGATTATTATTGAGCACCAACGTTGTGACCACAGTGTTCAATATTTTGCCAATCCTTTGACTACTGCATCACTAAACAAATATTTTCATAATATGCTGGAGTCCTGTCAAATATCTCACCACCAAATTCTGTTTGAGCTATTGCTGATGATATCACAAAGTTTTTCAATCTATGTACACTATTTGTAAGCAATGTTCACGTATAAGGGTGAGATCGTTAACTTAAATATATGACTTCCGATATCTTTATCTTTTGTTTTTGTTGCAGATCCGCACACCTTCAGGAACAGCACGTACTCACAGATTTGCTACCCAGACTGTAACTCTTCCTGCTCAAGAAGGAGAAAGGGTAACCATTTCCTTGGCAGCCCCATCCAACGTTTATCGTGACATGGGACCCCTCAAGATTGCTGCGCGCTCACAAGGATTTAGACCTGGAGAACCTATGTGTCTCACTAATCACATCAATGGGCAAGTCTCGAAGTTGCTAAGAGCTCCATCAAAGAACGAGGGAACATTTTTCCTTAGCCCATATTTATTGGTCGGTGCTCTTGCCTTCCTTGCATCTGCAGATGCTGCTTCCACATTCATTGACCCAAGCCTTCCCAGACTTGTTACAGCAACTGCCATTGCATCAGCTGCCGTAGGAACAACACTAAATGAAGTGGTCCTGCCAAAAATTCAAAAGGCAAGTCCAATTTTGACAAAAAAAAACTGCAAGAGAATGTTTCTCCATCATGTAAATAGATTTCTTTTAACGTTTAACTGAGTCCATGAAATTAGATTCGTCTATCAGGAATGAATGATGTTAGGAAATGATTATTTGCATTAGTTTGTCCTGTCTACTCCCTCTGTCTAGTAATACAATGCATTCTAAAAATTTTAAGACAACTTAAGGGAATACTCAAATAATGCATATACCCATGGATTAAACCCAATTAAGGTTTTTTTCCTCAAATAATGATTTCCGTTTTTAACAAATTTTGCTAAATCTAAACATTGGCACTAAATAGAATGGTTTATATTTCAATATAAATTTTAGAAGTCATAATGCATTATATTCCAAGACGGAGAGAGTATGACATTACAACTTAGGTTTGCATTAATAACCATTTGGTCTTTTACTTGATTCATTAATTTATCTTTTCTCAATCATATATTAACACAATAATTGTATTGTCTTTTGGATTAGTATTTCATGGTGGCAGCCTAGTTTCCATGTATGACAAAAAAGAGGAATTGGTTTGGGCAAGAGATAAATGAAGTTCATTATACGTTCCCCGAGAGGCATTGACTTAAGTCTCTTTTTTTCGTCAGCTTCCACGAAAAGCAGTGGATATAGTTGCTGTACGGCAAAAGCTTTTGTCTCAATATGACATTCTTCAGAGTCGTCTTAAGGAACTGAAACAGTTTGCTCAAAAAGAGGTTTATTTCTTTAATCACTGTTGAAATTAAATATTCTGTGAGAAGGGTTGTGGATATCTATATGTAATCATCAAAACTGTTTCTTTTAAGGTGTGGATGCTTGCACGGATGTGTCAGTTGGATAACAAGATAGTGGCAGTTGGTGAACCATCTTATCGGTAATGCTCAGGAAGTTGCAGTAAATCTTGTATCATACCATATTAGTTGTAATAATGCATCAACATCACACTTTCAGTTATTAGAAGGTTTACTTTTTTTACTACTCTCTCGTTCTAAATTATAAGACGTTTTGATTTATCTAGATATATTGATTTTACTACATGTATCTATAAAAAGTCTAAACGTCTTATAATTCCAAATGGAGGGAGTACTAAAAAATATTTTCTGGCACACAAACTAATTTCCAGTGCTAGACGAGGTAGAGTAAAGAGGGTACGGGAAAGCTTGGAAAGCACACTCTTGGCAAGGATTGAGCTAATGGAAAGTTATGCAAGAGTAATCGACAAAACAGTACATGGAAATGTCATCCATATATTTTCACCTTTAAATCGAGCTGATGTATGAAACATGCTATCGCAGCTGTGTTCAATGATTGAAATTGAAGTTGAGATGGACTCTGATGTTATAGCTGCTGAAGCGGCAAGCAGTGCAGTAAGTAGTTTCTGTATCCTATTGATCCATACAATAAAGTAGGTTAAATATGATCAATTCTTATTTAATCCTGACCAATGGTTTTCAGGAGAGAATATCAGAGCAGATACAACAACTAATGGAGATCGATAGTCTTGAAGAGGCAAGTATTTCCTTTGCTTATATAGTTACCTTAGATGAGTTTTATCATAAAGATCTAACATTTTCTTCTGAAACTTATTCAGCAATGGCGTATACAAGCTGAGGCTAATGATGAAGCAGAAAGGCTTCTTAGTTCAGATTTGTCCGAAACATTTCCTGCTGGAAGTGTAATGTAATATTGTCTATGCGAAGGCATTATTCTTTTTTCCTGTTAGCTATTTATGTCTCTTCAATTTAAATGTTCTCTATCAAAGTACAAACGAAACTCTAGTTAGACTTCTCAAGCAAAATATTGCTACAGAAAATTAGAGAAATAGTGGAACCACATGATAATAGGGAAATCATATGATGAATCCCATTACAAAATAAAACAGAATATTGGTTGAAACCGTGTAATATAAGTAAAGATTATTGGTGGTTATTGCATTACTTCCATGGGAAAATGTTCAGACACATTCTCACAGCATTTCTCTTAGCAGTTCTTTCATTTAGCGCCACTGTTCCTCAAACACTAATTTCTACGATCTCTTGAGGCCCATCCTATTTTGAAGGAATGTTGAAAGATACAGTACAACGAAATCCCTCTTTAGCTTCGGTATGAAAGTTAGTAACACCAAGAGAGTGTATCTTCAAACCATCTAATCGGCTCAATCATCTAAGGTAATTACAAACATATGTTAGAATAAAATAGAATATATGTTAAATTGATTGAGCGTAAGAAAAGATTAATACTTACTATGGTCATAAACGGGACTGTGTCGGCTGCAAATTTGGCGCAAATGGCGTAGCTCCAGGGATGAATCTACGTGCCTGAGGAGGAAGTGGGGGACCCTACATGACTGATCATGAACACAAAAGTTATGTTTCCCATAGTACTCATAATCGCAATGCTGATAGTTATATGCTTTTTTCCACTTTACATCATGTTTATAGGAAGGTTGAAAACAACACAATACACTATGAAAGGATCAAGATGCCCAAGAGGGGGGTGAATTAGGCTAATTCTAAATTTTCTTGCAATAATCAAATCCTACGGATAGCCCAATTAACCCCTTGTGCCTAGAAAAGTGTTTATGTCAAACTAATGCACAACAACCTCACAACCTATGTTCCAAACTTACTCTAGCAAGCAATTCTATGGATGTGAAACAAGTATTGAATTGCTCAAAGTAAATACTCAAAGTAAGTGCTCAAAGTAAATAGAGAGAGAAAGGAACGCGGCGATGTTTTGCCGAGGTATCGGAGAGTCGTCACTCCCCACTAGTCCTCGTTGGAGCACCCGCGCAAGGGTGTAGCTCCCCCTTGATCCGCGCAAGGATCAAATGCTCTCTACGGGTTGATTCTTCGGCACTCCGTCGCGGCGAATCACCCAAAACCGCTCACAACTTGAGTTGGGTCACCCACAAGCTCCGCCGGGTGATCACCAAGCTCCCAATCACCACCAAGCCGTCTAGGTGATGGCGATCACCAAGAGTAACAAGCACGAACTCTCACTTGACCACACGAAGCCTAATGAGAAGATGGATGCACACTTGTCTACTCTTGATTCACTAATGAGGTTTCACTCTTGGATTCTCAAATCACAAACACCTCACTAGGACCTTGCTCTTCTTGGCACTCACAAACGTGTTTCTCAGCTGTTGGAATGAGCAAAAGTAACTCCACACACGAGTGGAGCTTCTATTTATAAGGCAGCCTGAAAAACGAACCGTTATGAGCTTCTGCGGGATGACCGGACGCTCCGATCATATTGACCGGACGCTCCGGTCAGTTCAACCCGCGCAACAGTTTCCAAGTGATGACCGGACGCTGACAGGGTCCGGTCAGCACTGACCGGACGCGTCCGGTCGATCTTGGATGCTTACTGTAAACGACCGGACGCTGGATACTCAGGGTCCGGTCACCACTGACCGGACGCGTCCGGTCACACTTTCTCAAATCTGGACCCTTACTGGAGTCGACCGGACGCTGGCCTTCAGCGTCCGGTCACACGACCTTCCAGCGTCCGGTCACTCCAGACTTGTTCTCCACAGTCAAATGAACTGACCGGACCCTGCGGCCAGCGTCCGGTCGCACCGGAGCCAGCGTCCGGTCAGTATTTGACCCTCCATTCACTTCCAACTCTCGATCATATGTGAATGAAGTTAGCTCCAAAGGATCTTAGGCATTCATAGGAGCTACCTAGGGCTAGTTTTAACAAGTGTGCACCACACCTAACTCACTAGACTCAACTAGGTCAAGCTACCCGTTCATACCCCCCTTCATAGTACGGCCAAAGGAAAAACAAAGTCCTAAACTACTCTAAGTGTCTCTCCAACTTCAATTGACACTTAGAACTAGTTATCCTTAACCTTGTCGTCCATCCTTTGAAAACCGAAACGATTTCCATCGTAGGGGCATGACAACCTCAATTGCCCAATCGATCTCCATTACCATGACCTAACTTAATTGCCTCTGCAAAACATACGTTAGTCATAGTAATCTTGTATTGACATTAATCACCGAAATCCACTTAGGGGCCTAGATGCTTTCAATCTCCCCCTTTTTGGTGATTGATGACAATACCACCTCGAGTATGTTAAAGAGTGAGGTTTTTGAAGGGCTTGGTTCATATAAGCTTTTGTCGTTAAGAACAAAAGAGTTAGGCAAGCTTATATGACCCAAGCCAACACAATGTACTCAAAGGATATGAATTAAGCATGAGTACAAGTAACAAAGCTCATTTGCTTCGAAGTATAAACGCGAAGCAAAAGCAAATAAGCATAACACAAGTGATATGACATATAGATAATGCAAAGTAGAAATCACACATGTCAAATATCACAAGCACGTAGATAGCACTATCACATATATATAATAGTATGCATGAAAGTAAACACACGAATGCACAAGTAATAGTGTATCACACAAATAGAACTCCAAATGTATATAATAGGCTAATACTAGATAACTAGCTCCCCCTAAATGTAGCTCCCCCTGAGACTACATACTCGAACACCCTCTCCCCTTTGGCGCCAAACACCAAAACCTAGGGGTTGGACGGCGAGGCTGCAGAGCGAGACGAGCCGAGGCAACAAGAACGAGGGCAAGTTAGAACCGGGCACCATCATCATCTCGACCTCGAGCTCGAATCGACCGACCCTCTGTGGCAGGAAGTGTCGCCAAGCGGTCGGGTCTCGAGCTAGAGCTGGTGCTTTGCTGTGAAGTCGCTAGTATGTCTGCTGAGGATCTCGACGAGGCGCTGCACGAGGGGAGCCTCGAGTAGTCACAGCGATCGGGTCTCATCAGAGACGGACCGCGTAATGCATATGAGGCGGAGTAGGCATGCCGTCAACTCATTGAAAGATGCTCCAAGACTCTCGAGACCGACGTGTCGTGCACGAATAGCGAGGAAGATCGCTGCGGAGTGAAGCCCGTCTGAAGTGGAGGAATCTGAGGGCTACCACAGGTGAGGCTAACCACTGGGACACTGTATAGGCGGTGAAGCAAACCGAGCTGGAGGCTGTCCTCGACTCTGAGCCCATCGGGCTGTATTCTTTGAGTCGTCGAAGTGGTAGGAGGTTGTGGCGAGTGGAACCCCAATGGTCGCTACTACATGCCGAATGAATCCCATTCTTCGCCGCATAAGTAATCTTTGGTCTTTGAAGGAGCTGCTGCCGCCATTGGAACTCGTCTTGACGAGCTCAAAATCGCGCGGTTGGCGGTTGTCTCTCGTGCTCGTCGTGGTTCGATCTGCTGCATCCGCCAAGAATAGCAATGAGAGCGGGTCTGCTGCGGGAGCAGGTGGAGCAGAATCTGGAGCTACCGGCCTCGTGATCGTGGTTCTGCGTGGAGGCATCTCGAGGTATAGGCCGGTAGTCGTCGCCGAGCTATCACCGTGCATTTCGCCACCTCCCGATGTGCCTCTAGCTCCTCCTCCTTAGTGCTGCAATCCCTCCGATGATCTCATCTTGCCTTTGAGCACGGACTCGCAGCGCGTCGGGACGACGGCTAGGCTGTCTGGGTGCCCGAGGAGTGGTGTGTCCGATCCTCTCGTGATAGGTTGTAAGCTGGGAACTCTGTGGTGGCACCAGATACTCATCCATCATACAGGGGGCTTATCACGCACTACTCTGCGGATAAGAAACATGATCCAAAGGCGCATAAGGAAGCTGCTGCTGCGACCCTTGAATCCCTCGGCTATAGTGTCCTCCATCTCTCGAAAGAAGGAGGTCCCAGATATCAAATACTATCTCACGTGCATCGGGCATTAAGAAGCGAGCTATAAGCGAGTCAGCCCTCTCTATATCCCAACCTCGGGAAGCAAGTGTCCTCCCGATAATAGCCTCTAGCACTCTCATTTGTGGGAGTCAAGTCACCGGGGTTCCTCCTCGACCCCTCTCCAAAAGGCTCCTTGAAGCAATGTCGCACTAAATCAGAGGAGGCACCAAACCTCCGTGAGGACGCCCGGGAGGCTCCTCGCTATCCATAACAGACCTCATGTATCTTTGACAGCTGCCTCAGTAGCCTCAAGATCTCTCGACCCTATCACTCACGTCACACTGTAGTCTTTGCCTCTCGAAAGCAAAGTGAATAAACTGTGATGTGGATCGATGAAGAGTGAAGCATAGAACCTGACGAACCCAAGATGGTACATATATCCCCGTCCGTCCAATCAAATCTGTCGGTCCTGGCAAATATGACAAGTATGGCCGAATGCTCTCTCCGGCTGCTGCCACAATAGACTCTATCTGACAGACTCTCCGAGATCTGAAACACCGCCCCAATCGTTGAGATAAGCATTGTAGAAATCCTCCGCAGTGGCATGTAGAAACCCTCACCGTTGCTCTCTCTCATCCCTCCTCGGGGAAACCAAACCTCAAACTCAACAAAACGCAATGCCTTGAACTCCGCTCGGGCGGTAGCGGCCCTCAAGTCGAGGTGAACCATCGGAGGTGGACCCTGTGGTCTAGGTGGAGGACGTGATCCCCTCCATTGTGTGTGGCGGCCTCGGTCGGTGAGACCGGGTACACGGGTCCGCCCCAGAGCGGCGGAAGGCTGGGGTGGCTCTATCTCTCTCGGCCTCCCGGGTCTGGCCGAGGCTCGCCTTGTGGGGGGCCTGCTTTGGCCGACGGACCCTCCTCAATGGTAACCCATCGTCGCCTCAAACGTGAGCCCCCCATTTGGACTACCGTGA